TCTGGGGCTCTGAGGGCACAGTGTTGGCTTATGTTCAACTTTCCATCCACCGTTAACCTCAAGTCTTTCACAGCAGGGCTGCTCTCAATCCTTTCGTCCCTCAGTTTGTATCAGTAAAGGTGGTTGCCTCGACCCAGGAAGATCTGTGCCATGATCTTTCCTGGCCCAGATGTGAGACTGATAGGATGGTAGTTCCCTACATTGTCAATTTTACCCTTCTTAAAAATGAGTTAAAAATGAGTGTGTTGTTGCCTTTTATCCAGTCACCAGAAACTCCAGTTGGTAGAGTCACCACAACTTTTCAAGTACCATAGAGAGTGGCGTGGCGACTACACCAGCTAATTCCCTTAGGACTCCAGGATGCATCTCATTGGGACCCATAGACTTGGGGATGTTCAGGCTCCTCAGGTGGTCATGAATCTGATCTTCAATTACCATGGGAGGAACACTGCTTCCACAGTCCTCTCCTACTTAGCCAAATGTGTGAGGGCTGCGTGGAAAGCAGTGATCAGGGAAGACAGAGGCAAAAGAGTTGTTAGGTACTTCAGCCTTCTCCTTGTCCATTGTTACCAGCCTACCTGTGTCATTCACTAAGGGGTGTACGGCCTCCTGGACTTCCCTTTTCTGGTTGGGGTCCCAGTAGATGAAAAATGTGATATGAGCCACCAGTGCACCTTGCAGCCCTGAAGGCTAACAGTATTGCTAGGCTGCATTAAAAGAGGGAAGGCCAGCAGAGAAGGGGAGACAATTACCCCTCTCTATTCTGCCCTCGTGAGACCCCCCTCTGGAGTACTGTGTCCAGGTCAGGGGGCCCCAGCACAAGAAAGATGTAGAGCTTTTAGAATGGGTCCAGAGTAGGGCTACAAAGATGATCACAGGACTGGAGCACCTCTCCTATGAAGACAAGCTGGGAGCCTATAAACAGGAAGGAAATTGACTTGTTACTCAGGAAGATAGCGATAGGACAGGGGGGAATGGCTTTAAACTAAAGGAGAGGAGATTTAGATTAGATGTCAGGGGAAATTTTTCATTAGGAGTGCAGTGAATTGCTGGAACAGGCTGTGCAGAGAGGATGTGATGCCCCATTCCTGGAAGCATTCCAGGCCAGGTTGGATGAGGCCCAAGGCAACCTGATCTGGTGGCTGGCAACCCTGCTCACAGTTTGGAACTAGACGGTCTCTGAGGACCCTTCCAACTCAAGCCATTCTATGATCAAATAAGTGAGGTTTTACAACTCAACCAGTTGTTTTGTGTGTGTGTGTGTGGTTGTTTTTTTTTTTTTTAAAACAAGTTTTGAGAGCATTCCCCCAGAGTGACTCAGAACTATGCTGTATAACCAAGATGTTATAATTGCAATATAATCAAAAGAGTAAG